GTCAGCAACCCCGACGCTCGGCCACGCGCATGCACCACCCCGGTCGGAGGAGGGGTGAGTGCGAGGGGGGCAGCAGAGAGGGAGAGAGAGATCGAACGCCGACACCGTTTCTCCCAGTCTCCTCCCGTTGTTCGCGAGTGCATCGAAACCATCTTTCATCACTGTGTGTTTCAGCCCACTGTGCGTGTTTCCCAGGTAGATGTAAAAAAGAAGAAGAAAAAGAAGAAACATCTCTTTCGCGTTGGATATTAAGAGCATCGTATCACATCGATAGAACGAAGGAAATTACGAAAAATCCCTCTCTCTTTCCCTCCCTCCCTCCCTGTGTGGATCTTTCCGGTGGAATCTGGTCCGGTTCCGTGGAATGAGAGGACAGCGACACGATCGCCGAGGGGATCGTGAAAGCTGAGAATTTTTGCTCGTCGAATCGAGAAATAAAGGCGGAGGGATAAAGGCCGTGGTTGACGGTGAGACATCGAGTAAGTAGATTAAAGTTTTTGGGTGTACTCGTAGCCATGGGGTGTACACAAAGACGTGGCCGATAACATAGGGGGGGGGAAGAAATAGATGCGTAGCGGCGTGACGCAACCACGGTGAACGACGCGGTTTCGAGAGGAGAATTTTCGAAATCGAATAATCGATTGTTCCATATCTTTTGATTTTGGATGACACTATGATGGATGCGGTGTGTAGCGTTAATTGCATGATCGAACGGAGGAAACGTGACGAGATACGGTGGGGATCTCGTATCTCGGGATCGGATAATTCGGATACAAGTTTGGATTAAAATTCGTACGAGAGTCGTAGAGTTGCGAGAGACAGGAGATAGATGGGGGGATGGGGTTTGAGAATTCGAGGGATTACTCGAGGGATTAGATTAAGCTTTGTTATTTAGGAAATTGAGATTGGACTTTTGATTGGTGGATATTCGCATTGGATTAGAGTAATTGAGCGAATATGGATTCACGTTGAGGATAAATTTCTGTTTTCTTTCTGTAAATTAATAGTTATCGTGAACGATTAATTTAACAGATTGTTCAAGATGTTGACAGAGAAAATAGGTTTCGATATTTCTTCTTTTAGTGATTGTAATTAGAGAATATTAAATTAAGTTGGTTTCGTTAAATAAATTTAAATATAAGTATATATTTTAATGTGTTTGCTGTAAAATTACATACATAGGAAAACAATAAATTATAGGATCTGAGAGAGTTGAATATTCGAATATATTTTTTTCAATTATTTAACACGTATTCCATATGTATGTCAAGTATTTAGAGCGAATTATTACTAATGTCTCGATACTCGCGACAGAAGAATAAAACTTATCGACTGTGACCTCGGGCACAGCGACAAATGTATCATGTGTTGTACGTATGGAGCCACGAAGTCTGGTATCATATAGGCAATACACAATCTGGAGCGATTATGAGGAAAGTATCAGTGTCGAAGCAGCTGACTTATGCCAAAAAATTCTGCATTGGTGGTCGGAAAATTTCTTAATCGTTCTTAAAATCTTCTAAAAAATATTCAAAAGAATTCGTCTCGAAATTTAAATCGATGCGAATATCAAATAAACTTTGCGACATTAAAACAAATATTCTTTCATTGTTACACGAATCATCTCATCGTACATACAAAGTATCTAATATTCCTTTACTCATAATTTACAATTCTAAAAAAACACTTTACAATTTACTTCGATTTAATACGACCACCTCAAAAGAATAAAAATTTCCTTCGTAATATTCCAATAATGAGAGAACATATTATTCGATATCGATCTTCAATCTCGTATACAACCGTGAAGAGGAGGGATAATATTCTTCTTTATTCTCATAATGCAATCATTATCCCCGTATTTGGCCCTCGGTATATACGCGTCGGGTCGTCAGTATTCTTCTCGAGCAACTTTTCATACCGACTTATTCATGCGACCTGTACCGCAATATTTATGAAGCCGGCCGATGAGGAGTACATTTTAATGAAACGAACTTAACAGTCTCTCGGACCGAGCGAGAATCGCGCGCCCCAATCGATCGAATCGAATCGTGTAACGAAATTTAATTCGACTGAAAGGACAGGTAATCGGATCGAATTACGCGACGAAACGAATCTAAACTCTTTACATACATATGGATAATGAGACAGGACAACGAGACAGGAAATTATTATCAAAGTGTAGTAGGTCATGGCGAAACAATACTATTAACTAACGCGTTCAAGAGTGCGCGTAACACAGGAAATTGATCTAAAGTAATTCGTTTGATACAAGCAAATTGTTTCCTATTCTACTTTGAAAGATGATTTAGATCGAACGCGTTGTAACATCGTCTTTCTTTCGTTCTGTGTTAAAATTTCCTCTTTGTTTGAGGAAATTCAAAAATTGTTTGCAACTGTTTTGTTTTTTATAGAGTGGAAATAAGTAGAGCAGTATTCATTCTTGAACGATGGAAAATTTATTTAAATCGATGTTTTTCGTTGCTTCGTTCTGTGTTAAAATTCTCTGATCGATTATTTGAAGGAAATTCAAAAATGGTTTGTATTATTGTGGAATGGAAATAAGTAGAGCAGTATTCATTTTTGAACGAAAATTTATTTAAATCGACGTCTTTCGTTGCTTCGTTCTTAATCGATTATTTGAAGGAAATTCAAAAATGGTTTGTATTACTGTAGAATGGAAATAAGTAGAGCAGTATTCATTTTTGAACGATGCAAAATTTATTTAAATCGACGTGTTTCGTTGCTTCGTTCTGTGTTGAAATTCTTGATCGATTATTTGAAAGAAATTCAAAAATGGTTTGTAACTATTATTATGGAATGGAAATAAGTAGAGCAGTATTCATTTTTGAACGATGCAAAATTTATTTAAATCGACGTCTTTCGTTTTGTGCTAAAATTCTTGATCGATTTATTTGTGAGAAATTTAAAAAATTTTAAAAATTGTTTGCAACTGTTTCGTTTTTTATTATGGAACGAAAATATTCATTTTTAAACGATGGAAAATTTATTTACTTTTGAAAATTCACGAGATTGAATAAAATAGAGATATTTAAATACGTGCAATACATATATATATATATATATGTTATTGATATTCGTAAAATTTCGTAACTGTTCGTCAGAAACATAAATATTTACGCGGGGGTTTAATATTTGATTTTCCTTTTATTTGAAATCAATTATTTATTTAAAATCGGACAACAAATTTTTTTATAAAATCGTTTCCT